GGATAAGAAGGCCCATGGTGGCTACGATCCGGGTCAGCCTAGAGCAGCTGAGTGAGGCACCTAAGGGTATTGGTGCCTGGGAAAGGTGAAGGTCTGAGATAGGAAGGGGGTGACCTGGGGCTGTCTTATATCGACACCTGTATTTATACATACACCCGTATTTCTCCTGCTAGACGGGCCCTGGAACTGAGCCTGGCGCTGGTGAACAGCTCCAATGTGCGAGCCATGACACAGGAACTACAGGGCTTTCTGAAGTCCTGTCCCCCTGATCTACGGGCTGACTGTGCGTCAGGCATCCTGTTAGCTGCAGAGAGGTGAGATGACAAGTGCCCAGGAGGGACGAGGAGGTAGAATTTGGGGAGGGTCAGTGCTAGGACTGATGAGCCATGTGTTCCCCAGGTTTGCCCCAACCAAGCGGTGGCACATAGACACTATTCTGCGCGTGCTGACTACGGTGAGGCAGGGACTGGTGTAAGAGAGCTGGGTGGAAATAGGCAGTTCATCACAGTGGCTTGGCCATGTTCACCTACCCTCAGGCAGGAACCCACGTGCGGGATGATGCAGTAGCCAACCTGATCCAGCTGATTGGAGGAGCCCAGGAGCTACACGCCTATTCTGTGCGCCGCCTTTACAGCGCCCTGGCAGAGGACATTTCCCAGGTATTGTGCCCACCTGCCCAGGCCCAGTGCTGCCCACTCAGTCCCTCAGCCCTTCCTTAGCCATCTACTGACTACCTGATTCTTTACTATAATTTTTTTCCCTCAAAGTCGCAGCTATCTTCTTAGTGGAGGACCCACTCCAGGGTAGAGACCTCATTTTCATTAGAACACTTGGACTTTTCTCCTGGCTTTGATACCTACTGGCCTTGTATCACAGATGACTAATTTGACTTTATGCTCAATGTACTCAACTCTTTACCCCGCCTACTAGATGGGGCTGTCTTAAGGATCAAATGAGATATTTTTGTGTGCATTAGGTTTTATTACCTTAAGTGCTGAGTAGATTAGCAGATGCCAGCCAGTATCTGTAGCCCTTTTATCCTTAATAGAGTAGATAGTCAGAAGCCATCCACTCCTTCAAGGGAGGGGCCCCAGAAACCCTCTCATTTGCAGCACAAGGTGTTAGACCTTGTAGTTGTAACGCTTGGCCACCAGAGGGCAGTGGGAGCCCAGTTGCCAGCACAGACCCAGGTAGCAAAACTCTAATGCAACTATCTGTGGGCAGAGGCCCTGCCCTTTTTCCCAGCCCTCGACCATCTTTCCACAACCTAAAGCGATACTGCAGGGTGTGGAAGTCCAAAGGTGTTTCTTGTCTCATGCAGCAACCACTGGTACAGGTGGCTGCCTGGTGCATTGGGGAGTACGGGGACCTCCTACTCGAGGGGAGCTGTGAGGAAATCGAGCCTCTTCAGGTGAAGCCTGCACTGGGATGCACCAAGGAGGGACTCAGGGAGGGCAGGGCTGACCTGTGGGGTCACTGCCTTTGTCCACTTTTGAAGGTAGAGGAAGAAGAGGTGTTGGCATTGCTGGAAAAGGTGCTGCAGTCCCATATGTCCCTGCCGGCCACCCGAGGCTATGCCTTCACAGCCCTTATGAAGCTCAGCACCCGATTCCATGGGGACAACAAGTAACAAAGGGTCCCGATTCCACCCATAAGCCACTCTCTTGAAACCCCCACTTTCTGAACTTCTCTCTAGGCACATCCCCTCTACCCCCCTATCCTTGTTGCTGTTAAGTACTGTCTAGTCAGTTTGAATTCATAAAGACCCTGTATTAGTTTCCAAGGAGCGACTGGCAGGTTTGAACTGTTGACTGTGTGATGGTTGTTGTTAAATGCCATCGAGTCAGTTCTGACCCAAGCGACCCTGTATAGGGTTTCCAAGAAGCAACTGATGACTTTGTGTTAATTACTGGAGTGTGTGCAGTAATTATCCTACAGAGGTACACCAGAACTACACACACATACCCATCCTAAGGCACTTACTCTTGAGCCAAGCATCGGGTAGCACCTTGCTCTCTGGGGTCTCTCCTTTCCTACTTATATGCCATGTTGCGGCCCAGCCGCATCCGCCAGGTGGTGTCCATCTACGGGAGCTGTCTAGATGTGGAACTGCAGCAGCGGGCTGTGGAGTATAACACACTCTTCCGGAAGTATGACCACATGAGGTGCGTTGAGCACTCAGCTACAGTGTGGGGCCTAAACTCCCACCTACTCCCTAATGTTCCTTTCTGGGTACCCTGACCTGTGTCCTTCATCCTGGGTAAGAGACTCCCACCCACAATGCCTTGAAGTTAAGCTAGCTTCCAATCCCCTTGCTCCTCTGAAAACCAGCAACCCTGTGCCATCTGAGGAAATCAGAGGGGAACTTCTGACCTGCTATGTGCCCAGGGCTCTCCAACTTACTCCTCCTAGGAGCCTCTTGTGAAAGACCTGAAGTCCACAAAAAGGGTATCCCAAGGGAGCACACTTGTATTCCATTCTTAGGGCTGCCGTCCTTGAAAAGATGCCTCTCGTGGAACGAGATGGCCCTCTGGTTATTGAGGAAGCAGAGGAAAGCAAAGAAGCCCAGCTATCAGAAGCAACCCCCATCCCCACAGAGCCCCAGGTGAGGAGTCTGGAATAAGGCAGATTTGGTCCACTTCCACCCTCAGGCCTGACCTTCATACCCTTTCCCCTAGACCTCAAAACTCTTGGATCTGTTGGATCTCCTGGATGATGATACTGAGGATGCCCAGCATCTTGCCCCTCGGGATCCCTCCCCAGAAGGTGCTTTAGGGCACCTTCTCAACCTGCCCTGCCATCCTCCAGCACTGTGTAAGTCTCAGCAAGAAGGCTGGCTCTGAGAGGTGGGATCAAAAAGTACTGCTACTTCTTAGCCAAGAACTAAGGTTCACATACCCTCTGCCCTCATGTATCCTCTTTTCAGAAGATATAAGGTTAATTATACCATGGTCATCCCCTCCTGGATACCCTTCAGTGTCTTCCCATTCCAGATTCTGCCCCTTGGCCTACAAAGTCCTGCTTCCTCCCTAGCCTGTACTCCACTGATCCCTCTCAGCTCCTCAAATGCTCTCCCCTCAAGCCTTTGGCATTTCATGTTTCCACCCCCATCCCACCCCTACCCCCACTGGTCTTTTCCAGCATATCACATGACCAGCTCATTCTCATTCTTCAGGTCTCCGCTAAAATGTCAGAAATGCCTTCTCCCACCACCCCCCTCTAATTACTTTGGCATAATTCATTTCCTTCCTAGCACCTAATACAGTCTGTGATTATGTTGCTTATTTTCTTGTTTATTGTATCTCTCGCTAGATTGTAAGCTCCAATAAGCCAGGGGTTTCATTTTCATGGCTATTTTGTCACTAACATCTTAAGTAGTACCTGTGTGCTCAGGTGAGTTTTTGTTATCTCCAGACCAAACACTACCTCCCATCCCAAACCTCCAAGTGTTTGAGCGCGAGGGACTACAACTGAATCTGTCTTTTGTTCGACCCTCTGAAATCCCTGCTCTGCTTTTAATCACTGCTACTGCCACTAACTCCTCAGGGAGTGATGTCACCCACTTCGTCTGCCAGGCTGCTGTGCCCAAGGTTTGTATTAGACTAGAGTTCAGAGGTGGCCTGGGCTCTCCAGGGAAAGAGGTCATTAAATGGAGGAAAGTTGGGAGAAAATGAGATGGAAAGGGCGTGGTGTGGAGATCTACATAGAGGAGTTAGGGGAAGAGGTTCAGGAACTGTTGGACTTTAGGGGTTGTCTGAGCCCTGCCAGCTGCCTTACTGGTCAAACCTCCTTTGTTCAGAGTTTCCAGCTGCAGCTACAAGCCCCTAGTGGGGACACAGTTCCAGCTCAAGGTGGCCTTCCCATTACCCAGCTTCTGAGAATCCTCAATCCTAACAAGGTGAGTTCCAGGAGCCCCCATGGCTTATACCAGCGGAGGGAGAAGGCCCAGGTGCTAACCCTGGTCTCTGTTCTCCTATTTCTAGGCCCCCTTGCGGCTAAAACTGCGTCTCACATACAACCACTTTGGGCAGTCGGTGCAGGAGATCTTTGAGGTGAACAACTTGCCTCTGGAGACATGGCAGTAATGGGGTGCAGTCTCCATCCACAGCCTCAAATCCTAAATAGGGTGGGTGAGAGTGGGGGTGGGGCTGCCACTCCAGCAGTGTGGAGCCCACGCCTGAGGGTTACCAGCAGGTGGTACTCTAGCTCTGTGCTTCCCACTGCAAAAAAAAAAACAAAAAAAAAAAAAAACGGTATTGGCTTACCCTCCTCCCCCTGTAAATAATGAAAGCCCAATAAAACGTGCAGAGGGGGAGAAGCCATATTTGGATATATTTGAAATATAAAATGTATATGAATAACGTAAAGGGAAGAAGTATTCTTATCTAAGGATTATGTATCTTCCCCTGAGCCTTTGAAACCTGTTTGCATGAGTAGGATTTTCTCTCTACCTCTCTCTGGCCCCAGGAACACATTTGCCCCCAAGCTTCCACTGGAAACTTCACTCTACCCACTGAGGCACAATGGCAAAATCAAACCCAAATTTCTAAATTTCCAACAGTGATTCCAACCCTGTGTTTCCCCAACCTAATGCTATTCTTCCGTACCCCAAGGCAGGGAAATCCCTGCTGCCTCTCTTCATCTCTAACTCAGCTGTAAGGCGGTTTAGGAGCCGCTGGCAGAATCAATGGCATCGACCAAGGGAGAGGGGGGGCAGCAAGGGATTTTCCTGTGCTTAACTACTGATCACGGCTAAGTGGAAATCCTATAAACACGAGCGGAAATCAATGGAGGCTGCTTAGCGGCCAGGGGAGAGGGGCGGCCCACAGATTGCATCTGATGGATGAGGGAGAAGAGTCAGCCAGGAAGGATTTGAGGAAGGGTAGGTCAAGGAACTGGCAGAGCTGGGGAGAGGAGTCACTGTTACAAGAGGCTCAGTGAGCCCAGAAGTGAACACTGTTAGGCTCAGAGCTCTCTCCCCCTTCTAGTAAGTGACACCCCTAACCCAGACTACTGTCTGGATGTTCTGTTCCCTGTGGCCTCTCTCTGGAGCGGTTCACTTCTAGCAGGAGGTCATAGTCCTGAGGCCGGAAGCGCTGCAGGTAAACGATCAGCTTGGCAGGCGGTGTCTCCCGTGTTGGCACACCTACAGACAAAAGGACAGTAAGGAGAGAGCCAGACAGATCCAAATGCTTTGACTCAGCGCCTTGCCCACCCAGCCAGAATCCAGAGACACTGAGGCAGCATTGGAAGCCTCAGTGCTATCCAATAGACTGCATAACCCACTCCCTGACTGACCCATGGAAATGGACCCTAAAAAAGCCAGTGTAGGCAGGAATGTGGTTAAGAAAGTAAATGAGCCACTCCAGCAGGGAGAAATGGTGACAAGGCACCAAAGGTGCCACAAAGACAGACAATACTTCAATAGCAACTCAGTACAGTGGTTTCTGTCTCCCAATCAAGATCAAAGCCCATCTAGGCAGACTAAAGCTCATTAGCTTAGTAATGATGCCCATGCCGAGATGCCCACATCCAGAGAAACAAGAGCTGTAAAAAGAATAGAGAAGAAGTTATAGTCATGGGGCAGGGTCCACATAGAATCTGGCCTCCATCTGGTGTGGTGTGGCCCATTGCCCACTGTCAATCGTCTGTCCCTGGCAGCCTGGTGAACACAGAGCAGGAAATTCAGTGTATGCTTGCTGAGCAGGGGAAAGTGGCATTCCAGAGCTATAAGGTTTTTTGGGGTGCATAACCTTAGACTTGTGTGGATGAACTGTCTACAAGAGAGCTAAGCCTAGGAAAAGAAAAATCTATCAGAGCTTACCAACATTCTTAATTCTACCAAAAGCCAACAGGAGCTGTTCAGCTGTTAAGTGCCATCAAGTTGATTCTGACTCATAGTGACCCTGTATAGGTTTCTGAGGAGCAGATGGTAGGCTTGAACTGCCAACCTTGTAGTTAGCAGTCCAATGCTTTTTCTACAATGCCACACCAGGACTCCATTAAATGAGGATCTTGTTGTTTGAACTCATAGCAACTCCGTGTAGGGTTTCCAGTGAGGGCTGGTGGGTTTGAACTGCCAACCTTGCAGCTCAAACTGACCTTGTGGTCCAGTGCATTATCCTGCAGGACTCCAAATGAGGATCTAAGTAGTAGTAAAAATGAGAGTATGGGGGAGGAAGGAAGGATTGAAGCAGAAATGGACAGAGACCTGACAAGTGGAACTGAAGGAGACCTGCAGTGGCTAGAGATGAGATGGCGAACTAGCTGAGGCGCAATATCTGAGATGAAGACTAGAGACATGTGGAAGGATTAAATCCAGTTGCATAGCTACTGTGAAGCAGAGGAAACCATAATCAATAACCCCAGATCAACCGGGTCCACTAGAAAATGACTAACACAATGCCCATTACAGAAAGAGTCCAGAAGCCCTCCCCCACTGCATGATGTAGGAAGTACATCCAGATGAGGAAAGTGGGGAGCAGGGGCAGCACAGAGGAACCGGTTTCCCTCACCAAGTAGGCTGCTGAGGCTGTGGATCTTCTCCAGGGCACTTGGCACGTCAGCCTTCTCTTGCACCAGGACCTCCACTTCACCCACAGTGTAGCCAAAGTCGGCCGAATCCAGGTCCACCCTGAGTGGCAACTCCTCCTCAGCCCCAAAGTGCACCAGCTTCCAGGCACTCCGCTTGGTCACAAAACTAGCGACTTCCTGCAGTCCCAATGACCTTAATGCATCAGTCATGCCTCCAGCCCCTAACCCTTCAGCCCCCAGCACCTCACAGAGCTGGGCCACAATTGCAGGCTCAGCCGTGAGTTCCAAGTACTCAGTGTGGGGTCCTGAGACACCTGCAGCTACAGGACATTTGAACTCCCATCCACTACCCTCTCGCTGTCGCAGCCAGTGGTCAGCCTTCATGAGGCTCAGCTCAGGAGTGTCATAGTAGCTGTCTCGGAAGGTGATCCGGTGCTCCAGGGTGCCCCCCAATTCCTGCAGCCGCTCCTCTGTGCCAGGACCAGGGATGAACTTGCGCTCCACCTCAATCAAACCCTGGGCCATGCTACCTGCAACCAGTCAATCAACAAACATTTGCTGAGTTCTAAAGTCTGTGCCGGAAGACTGCTTAGCACAGCCCCCCCGGGGAGCCTGGAAAACCTAAGGCATACATACACTGTCTCAAAACTTCACTGCTAGGCCTGCAGCCCTTTCTCCCTACCGTTGGCGATGGATGGCCCAGTCTAATATTTTTATGGCTCCACTATAGTAACAGAATACTGGTTAAATCCCTTCCACCAATGATGTGCTTAATCCAAAGGCCTCCCTAGAAAGGAAGGCCAGGTAGTGCGTGTGCTCCTTTCTACACTTACCCTTTATCCTTTAGTACCCCAGTGGCTCACAGTCCAGGATGACCACGCCCTTCCCTGGCACCGTCCAGATCGGTGGTGCCCTGGTCTCACCTCAAAACCTGAGGGTCTCCCTCTCGCGGGACCCGGGGGTGTGGATAGGGAACCCACGCCACACCCGCGAAGAATGCTGGGAGCAGTCTCTGGCTCTGGACATCGACCCGACTCAGCGCGCTCGGCCGGACCCAGCACTAGCGGCCATATTAGGCCTGGTGTGGTGGTGCAGAGGACAGGCCGGGGTTCCAGAAATCTCCTAGGTTATGAAGGGGGAAAGACTCTAGCAGTGGGCAGGAAAGCCAGGCCTTAGCCTCTGCGCTCTACTCCTTATTCCCAACCCCTCCTGGCTCTCGAGGGTCGGTACGGGTCTCAGGCCTTAGGCCGAGCCCGGGCTCCCTGGGGTTCGGGTGCATGATGGGAGATGTAGTTCGAGAGAATGTGCGTTCTCTCCCCACCCGTCGCTATGGTTACAGGAAAGCTGCAGCTACTGCCCACTGAGCTCTACATGAAGCTGAGGTTTTTAGGCGGTGCGAAGAATGGAATGAAAAGAGCTAGGCCACAGTCAGGTCTCCAGCCCTCTCACAACCTGGGCAGATGGGCCTAGAATACAATCCAAAGTTTACAACATTCACTCAAATACTGTTCAGCAGATAATTAACTGATTTTTTACGGTGGCTCTTTAAGCACAGGCCTGTAGTAATAAGCTGGAAAAAAAAAGAATATTTAAGACCAATCCGGCTAGTCTAGAGTTTTACAGGGGATTTAATACATCTGTCGTATGTGTTCAAAGTAAGGAGAATAGGAAACGTTCTGTGAGAGGTGGGGTTGGTATTTTGGATCATAACTAAATACATGATGGGATTTCAACAATTGGAGTCCCAGATGGAAAAAAAGAGCAGCCTGAGCAAAGGCCCAGAAGCTGGCCAGTACCTGGATAGTGTGTAAGGATGAAAACGAGGCTAGAAGTGCAGCTGAGGCGTTGGAAAAGGCTTTGAGAGCCAGGCTTGGAGCTTTGTATCAGGAGTAAGATACTTAATGTTCATTTAAAATACAGGAAGGCTTGGAGGCGGCCCCTGGACTACTTGGGAGGCAAAGTAGAGAAGGCTCCTTCTCCTAAGGAATATCATTAATGGGAGACCATAACTGTATCTCCGGATGAAGTAAGTTGCTGAGGAATAGTAGCTCTTATCATCTATTATGCTCCTTTCTCAGTTCTTGACACCTACTCCTTCCCCAGTGTGCTCCTGGAAACATATATCCAATGGGTAAAAACACTTGCAGAGAACATTGGTTCACAGACAAGGCATCTTGAATTTGGATGTCTTGGATGCATCCCTCTCCCCCACTCCATGCCAAACACTATTAGGCATTGAGGAAAGCCCCCTAAGCTCCTAACTCCTTTCGCTAGCCTGATTTTTCATCCATCCTTTCCTTGCAATTTTGTTGCCCCAAGAAGACCTCATAACTATTTTTGAGTTGTAAAAGCCAATCTCATGGGGCTTAATGGAATGGAAAGACCATAGACTCCAAAGCCAGACATCCCTGGAATTGACTCCCCACTCTACTTCCTGTGTGTCTGACCTTGGACAAGCTACTCCACCTCCCTAAACCTTTGTTTTCTCATTGTTAAAATGTGGGCCATTTCAGTTAATAGTAAGGATTTGATAACAAATTATCTAACTCATAGTAGATTCAAATTAGTTTCTTTCACCTTCCTTTTTCCTGTGAACTTTGGGGTTTTTCTTCCCTTCCTTTTTTCTTTTTAAGAGTAGGCTGTAGCAGCTAATGTAAGCTTTGGAGCAAGACTGCTGCTGTGGGCTGTGGAGCAAACTTGTTTCTGACTCATAGCAACACCCTGTACAGTGTTTCCAAGGCTATAAATCTATTACAGTATCAAAAACCTCATCTTTCTCCTGTGGAGCGGCTGGTAAATTCGAACTTCTGATCTTGCAGTGAGAAGCGCAGTGAGTAATCCACTACACTAGTAGGGAGCTAAACTGTTGTTGACTCCATGTAACTTAACAGCAAGAAGAAGCCTGACTCTTTAGTGTTCAAGAGCAAAGATGTCTGTTTGGGTACTCAGGTGCGCCTGATCCAAGCCATGGTATTTCCAATAGTTTTATATGCATGTGATAGTTGGACAATGAGTAAGAAAAATTGATGCATTTGAGTTATGGTGTTGGAGAAGAATATTGAAAGTACCATGGACTGGCAGAACAAACAAATCTTTGTTGGAAGAAGTACAGCCCGAATGTTCCTAAGAAGTCAGGAGGTGAGATTTCATCTCTCATACTTCAGACATATTATCAGGAGGGACCAGTCCCTAGGATATCATGCTTGGTAAAGTGGAGAGTTAGGGAAAAAGAGGAAGAACCCCCAATGAGATGGATTGGCACAGTGGCAGCAGCAGTGGGCTCAAGCATAACAATTGTGAAGATGGCTCAGAACTTTTGTTTTGCTGTGCATAGGATCACTATGAGTAGAAGGCACCTAATGTGCCAGACTGTAAAGCCGTTTGAACTGCAAGGTGGGCAGTTCAAGCCCATCACCTACTCCTTGGAAATCCTATACAGGGTCGCTATGGGTTGGAATCCGACTCGACAGCACTTCACAACAACAACAACAACCTTTCCATTAGCAGTCCAGTGCTTTTCTTAAAGCACCACCACACCAGAACACCAGGCTATAGAGGTTTTAATCCTGCAGCTGTCAGTTATTGACTGTGTGACCTTGACCAGTTAATTAAGTTGTTTGTACTTTGGTTTCTTCAACTGTAAAGTGGGACTAATAAATAGTATTTACCTCATAAGATTGTGAAGGTTGAAAAAGTTAATTTATGCAAAAGTGTTTGGAAGTGTGCCTGTGCAGTCAGTAAATCTTAGCAATTATTATTTAGAATATAGGAGAGCATATTAGCCAATAAACTGAAGATGAGACCAAGGATAGAGAACCCACCCCCACCCCAGCTCTGGTGACTGTGACCTCGTGGAAAAGACAGAAGCTCCTGGAGACATCAGGGGAATTGCTATAGAGAAGGTTCTAGTGGCCAATCAGAAGGGAGGGGTAATAATAAAACAGGGAGTGACAAAAAAAAAAAAGAAGAAGCCTCAGGCATCCCTGGGAAGCTGGTAGAAGCCAGGGCTTGCTCTAGAAAGGATTTAAAACAAAACAAGAAAACGTATAGTTTCTGTAAGCAAGAAGAGGAGCAGGAGTTTCAAGGAGATTGCCCTGCTGACAGATACAGACTTGGAACTAATGCCCATGCAGAGGAGCCACCAGCCCCAGCCCCAGCCCCAGTCTCAGTCCCGGATGGCTTCCACCTCCCCAACTAGCGGCCGGCGGGCGGGGGAGAAGAAACTACAACTCCCGGCATGCGCCGCGGCGGGCGGACCGCTGCACCTGCTCAGTGGGGCCGCCCCGGGCGCCTGGGTATTGATTATTCCATTGTGTGGGACGCCTCGGCTCCAGCCAGTGAATGAGGCGGAGGAGTGAGGGCGAGGAGGAGGAGGAGGAGGCAGGGAGCGAGAGAGTGCCCAGGGTGAATCAATGGAAACCCCCTCACGAAGCCGGGAAAACACTTCAGCCGCAGCCAAATAGCATTGATTATTTTCCTTCACTTCCCTCACCGCCGCGAAATTTTTTTTTTTTTTTTCCATCTCCGTCCCCGACGCCCCGGAGCGAGCGCTGGAGGGAGGGAGGAGGGGAAAAAATAAGGAATCAACACATCGGAGAAGTCCCTTCCAAGAGCCGCCCCCTCCCCTCCCCGCCTCGCGCTGCTCGGCGGCCGTGGTTCGACTCCCGTCCTTGCTTCCAGCTGAGGTGTAAGTGCATCGATTTCCGATGCTGCTGGGTTGGTTTTTTTTTTTTTTCTCCTCTCCCTCTCTCTCTTCTTTTCCTTCCTTGCTCTTTGGAAGCTCGAGACGAAGGGGAAAGGAGGCGCTTGGAGACTGCCGCTGGCGGGGACGGCGAGGGACAGGAAGGGGGCTGGGGGAGGGGGCACGGACAGACGGACTGACCGTGCCGGGGAGAAGGAGGGGCAGGGGTGTGGAAGGAAGACGGCGTGCGGGCGGGGATGGAAGGAAGAGAGAGGGGTGGAGGGAGAAATCGGGAAGGGAAAGGCAACGAAACTGGCCCAGGAGCCAGCCGGATAGACGGAGGGTAACGAAAGCCTAGACGGACCGCGCGGAGCTGTGCGGGAATCGGGGGTCCCAGAGGGAAGGGGAGGCCGGGTGAGTGCGGGGGCTTGGAGCTGTCAGCCGGAAGGGGCCTGGGTCTCGGCGGCCCCCAGCCGGCAGCTGGAGAAGGCTTGGAACCGAGACGGGCGGGCTGATGGATGGGCTATCTGGATGGGCTGTCGTGCTGGGGCAGGGGTGCATTGTGGGGAACGTGGATACCCGCAATCTTCGTTTATTTGCCTCAAGTTGAGCTTTTTTAGGAGAATGTTGGGACTAGATGAGAGGAGGCCGTATCCCCATTCAAGCAGAAGTATGTCTGTCCAGGGCTCCCCAACTCTAGATCCATTCTCATCTTTCCCTCTTGCAGGGTGGCCCTATCGTTTTTGAGCGCCGCTTCTCTCGGCGCTTGTAGCTGCACTGATCTCTGTCCATGTGTCCCTGCCTCTGGGTTTTGCCATTCTTCACCGTCACAGGGTCTGTCTCCTTGTGACCCTTCTTGTCTGAGTGACCCTCTCCTTGTGTGTCCCTGTCACTATGTGTCATGTCTTGGCTGCCTGACTGTTCTGCCCCTCTAGGGCTCCATGCTCTCTCCTGCAAGGTCCTTGTGGTTATTGCTGGCCTTTTCAGGCTACTTTGGAGTTTGCTTATCAGTCATGATTGTAGTGACTGGTCAGAGGCCAAGGAATAGTAGGGGGATGGAGCAGATGGGTCTCCTGAGCCCTTTCGGCATGGCCTGCATGGGTCTGCTTCCACCTTCACCTGGGAAGCTTTGGAACTTCTTAGCATTATTTACAGCCCCTTTGCAGTGTGCCTGGCACCCTCCACCAGGACCTCGCCTTCTGGTCTCCTGTGTGTCATTCACCTCTCCAGGAGCTTCCCATTACAAACCTCTTCGTCACTGACTTAATTTTTCTCCCTTCCCCCTCTTTACCATTGTATATATCTTCCTTTCCCCATGTTGTCTCAACCCCTTCTTTTTCAGCCTTCTCTCTCATGGTCTTTCTTGCTTATTCGCCACCTTTGTTTCCATAATCTACCCTCTTATTTTTTCTCTTTGGTCACCCCTAGTTCCTTTTATTCATTATCCTCTTACCCAGCATTTTAACCCCAGCATCCCTGGTACCAGAGAGCAAGGGCCCAGAGGAGGTGGGGAGGTTATGATTTGTTAAGGCACATAAACAGGCCAAGAAATCAATTTAATGGGCTTCTAGGGGCATCTAACCCCTTCATCAGTCAGCGCTATTATGTCAGTTAACTGTCAACTTTGATTTTGTTAAGGGGGCATTCTCTAGGACTGAGCTACATTCTGCCTGGTTGCTCTCATCTTTTGGTTCATTCTAGATTTCAGTGACTTTCCCTTCACTTTTCAGTTCATCTTCTTCCTGGGCCCATCCTCTTGAACTTCAGTTGCTATTATCGTATTAGGATTCCTCCTGATTGTAGTAGGCATTTTTTATTAGTGTGACAAATATAATCTTATGCAAGGGTGCCAGATCCATTCAGCCTACAGAATAGTAAAGGTGGATAAAGGCACTGGAGAGTTTACTTTGGTTTTGAGCTCATCATTGTTTTTCCACACCTTGAGGAGCTTGAAAGGGTAAAAGGAGGAGGTTGATATGGGCAGAAGATGGATGATTTCAAAGGTGAACAGAAATTTAGAAAGGAAGGGGGGCTGGTGCAATAAACACATGGGGTAGAGAAATGTATGATGTGAGCAATATACAAAAGAAGGGAAGAAAATTATGCGGAATGGGAGCAGGGGAGGAACTGAGGGGTGAGTGATTAATGAAAAATTGGGAGAGTGAAATAAAACAAGTTAATAGCTATACAGAGGGAGAGAAATAACATAAAATTTTCCAAGAGGAGGTCAACAGATAAGGCAATATGCAAAGAAGGAAACTGATGACTAAGATGAGATAGGGAGTGTGGTACAAAGAAGGTAAATGGATGGCAAAGGACGGGTGCTGAAGCAGATCAGAGCTGCACAGAGCATGCATGGTAGGGGGGGAAGAGCCCAGGATGAGGCATCAAAGGAAACAAATGCCTCAGTGTGAGGAGGACACAGCATGACCAATGCAAAGAGAGAACTGCAGGAGGAGTGATTTGGGAAAGAAAAACAAAAAGACAGCAAAAATACCACTAGGTGAAACCCCAAAAGCAAGAGGGGGAGAGTGCAGAGAAATTGGGTGAAGGGAGAGAGCGCCCCACAACCTTCATTCCAGTGGCTTCATCACTCACTGCTTCACCAAAGGCCTCTGCACTTCATTCCCAAGCCAGGAGAACAAGAGCAAAGAGGTGAAAAAGAAGTAGAATTCTCATTTACTTTAGCTGACAGGAACTTGAATCTTTCTAGCCCCCTGAGAACCAAAGACCTCAAGCCTCTGATGTCATAAATTGCTGGTGTTGCCTTGGCAACATGACAGGGTTCCTCCCTCCATGATGTCAGAGGCAGCTGGTTTTACCTTGAGACCCATACAGGAACAACTTGCTGCTTTGCTAGGGAGCTGTAGCTCATGAGTAGCTTGAGTCAAATCTGTAGGATTCCTGACTCTAGTAGCTTGACCTTATCTCCCTGGGGCTCTTCTTAGCTCAGAATGAGGTCCTACGGTTCATGAGGGCCTGACAGAAGCAAGAGGAAGGGACTAGAGGAGATGGGGCATTAAGGAATGGGATGGTAGAACTGAAAGGCAGGCAAAGAAGGAAGGGAAAATATTAAATAGGACCACAGCTTTTTGAGCAGAGGGAGAGTTAACTGAAGAGGTAAGATGAACCTGGCTTTGGGTTTAGGAATGGAGACTGAAGCTAGAAATGCAGGAGAGGGGATCAGAGCTGTATGAGAGTATATAAACGGATTCAGTGATAGAGAAAGGGGAAGGGCTCTGAAATGCAAGAGGGCACAGTGCAGGTTATGGAGGAAGGGAAAAAGGGACTCTGAGTTGGAGAGAGTAAGCTTCAGATGGGAGACCCAGGGTGATTGGTGAGGAGGCTTCTCAGAACTTAGCATGGTGTCTGTCACATAGAAGATGCCTATTAAATATCTAGTAACCAAATGTTGAATTAATAAGGAAAAGAGTTGCCATCTTCCTCTCCCCCCCAGCTCCCATAATGGACAAATTGGGAAATCAGAAACTGGAGGATAGGGTTGTATGGGAGTTAACCCAGTTTCAGTGAACCCTGAGGCAGAAAAAGGAGATCTTTGGGTTAGGGCACACTTGGAGTTAACCAGGGCGGACTCTAGGATTGATTTGAAAAAGTCTTTGAAAAGATAAAGGAAGGAAAACATGAATGAACAGTCCTAGGAGCCCAAGGGGAAGATGCTGAGGAGGGTGGAGAAAGGAGGCGGTTTCCAGAAAAGGTTGAGCTGTTTCCAAAGAGAGTCAGTAGATTTGAATTAGAAGTAGCATTCCTACCACTTTCCCAATCACGAAACCACAGCTGAATCAGTCATATCCACTTGAACACTAGTCACAAATAAAGGTTCATAAATCAATACTAGGCCCATCCTAAACACTCTGCCCCAACCCGGTAATTCCAAGTCAGTATTGGCCAAAAGGGGAGTCCTGGTGTGGCACTGTGGGTTCATGAGCTGGACTGGCTGCAAGATTGGTGGTTCAAGTTGACCAGCCGCTCCTTGGAAACCCTATACAGGGTCAAGTGACTCAAGGGCACTTAACAACATTGGCCAAAAGGCAGAGGAAGGCACAGGTTACTGTTGCCCACACCTTGATGTAAGGAGCCTTGTGAGGGATGGTCTTGATGTCTGACAACCCATTGTTGAATGAGCCCATAGTGAGCTAGAAGACAGGGAGGCAATAGATGCAGCGCTTCTTAGAGTGAAATCTTCAGACAGAGGGCTAAACACACAAACCCTAGAGGAAAAGATGCACGAAAATCTGAAATTATAGCCAGTCCTGTGCTGAGGAACCTGGAAGACCCTGAATGGGTCAAAAATCTGGGCAAGAAGACCTGGAAGAGAGAGTGAGCTGAGCGTCCTGGGGAAAGACTGCCTATAATAAGAAAGAGCAGGGCAGCTGGAGAAGGTGCTGGTGGGAGGGGGCCTGAGGGAGGACAGTGGCTGCTATATGCACTGTCAGCTGCCGCCATGGACTTGGGCAGCTCATATTTTGCAGCAGGCGACAGGCTGTCGACACAGCGGTCTTTTACCTCACCGTTAGAAACTCATTTCATTGATTTTTCCATCTTTCTTTTCTGGCTTCTCATAGTAAGCTCAATCATCCCACCACCCACTTCCCAAGAGCCCCTTGCCTCTCTGGGGAAAGTTCTCCATCCCCAGCTGGTGAGACAAGGATGAAAGATTTAGAGGTGCTTTCCAGTACCCTGAGGTAATAATCACTGCTGGCTCTCAGTGCCTCCCTCATGTAGGAACTAGTCCAGTTGTTCAGAGTGCCTAATTATGTGGTCACGGGACTGAAATCCACCTTCCTTCCTGTCACCAAGCCGTGCCACTGGCATGTATGGTCATTCACCTAGAGGAAGACACCTTTTCTGCTTTTTATTGAGACCACTTTGTACTCCTCACATTTTTTTTTTCCCTCCAAAGCCCTGATGTGGCACTGTAGGATAAGCACTGGACTGCTAACCACAAGGTTAGTGGTTCAAACTCACCAGCCGCTCCTTAGAAACCC